GCCAGCCTGGTCTACATAGTGAGTTCCAGGCTAATTGGGGCTACAGGGAGACCCTGTCTCAAAAAGACCAAATTAAAAAAAAAACAAAAACAAAAACAAAAAACCTCAAGGTCATTATAAGCTGGTAGATCAGGCTGCAATCTAACTTTAAGAAAACCTTGACTATAATAATGAGATTGATTTCCTGACACAGCTTGAAGTCTAGCTAAAATTCCAATGATGACTTCTTGAAAGGCTGAAATTAGTAAAAGCACATGCTCTCCCAAAGTGACTACTTGTATAAAAGGACAACTCAGACTTCAACAATAAAGTTCTACCAAGCATATCAAAATTATCACAATTGGAAGCATCAAACTCTATCTAATCCACCTACCGAATTTCACGTCGGCAGGTTGTTCACGTTATCTTCATATTTTAAGATTATTTTTAAGATTGGCAAGACTCACAGAAACACTTCAAAATTCTGGCCCAGTAAAAACTCAGATCCAAAGGCTGGAACAGAAAATTGTTTTATTTTCATGTTTAGGTTCCAAGTTAAACCAAGCTTAAACAAACATCCCACAGCTTTATAAGAATTGCTTTATAACTCAATCTTCAGAGGTCAGAATTTACATGGCACAGATCATGCCTGCCATTTTCAAATAAATGGTTTCCGTAAGCTGTGGTTTAGCATGCAGGGGAGTTTTTGTTGCATTTCAGTTACAAGTCAGAGTGAATAAAAGCAATTATATTTTCTCCCCCCGCCCCAATTCCTTAAGCAAGAAAACCATCAGAAGTTCAAACAGGTTAGTTCAGAATTCTCGTACCTCTTCAAAAACACTCAACTAGCAGCGTAACAAAAACTTGTTTAAGGGAACAGCGCCGGTCCCAGTTCTGCCAGTGACCAACTGTGGCACTTCAAAGTCATCTGACCCTCTGAAGGCCCATTTTTTCATCACTAACAGGGAGTGGGCATGGAGTCCTAACATTCAGGAGGCAGAGACAGGTAAATCTCTGTAAGTTCAAGGCCAGCCTGGTCTAGTGAGCTCCAGGCCACCCAGGGCTACATAGTAAGACCATCACAAACAAACAACAAAAAACCATCACTAACATGGAAGAAACAGGTTCCAAGGTTTCTAAGTCTTAAATTCTCCACAGCTTTTTGATTCTATTGTGATTACACTAGGCAGCTCCCATAGTTTTGTGTGCCTAGCAAGGCATGCCATTCCGAGTAATGAGAGAGTCTGTGGCTCAGCTGCAGGGAAGGAGGAACAAGAACACAGCTCATGCTTGTACTGGTTTATTCCTGTTGGACCCAATAAAGAGAAAGCACCCCTGCCAATTTTCCACAGAATAGGACTGGTGCCTGTATCTCACCACACCCACCATAGCTAGTTTTTTCCTAAAAGAAATCCAGTGAGAACAAAAAAGAAAAAAGAAACAAAAAAAAATGTGAGGCATCAAGTACCTTTAGTCACTACATGACTAATAGGATAAATCAGTTCTAAATTAGAAAAGCAAGGGCTGGAGAGCTTAGCAATGAAGAGTCCATATTGGTCTTGTAGAGGACCCGGGTTCAATTCCCAGAACCCATGTTGGGCAGCTCATAACCACCTGTAAGTCCATCTAGCTTCAGGAACACTAGATGCCTTTGCCCTCTGAAGACAACTCACTCACATGCACAAACCCACATACATACAATTTAAGATTATATGTATATTTTTTTTAAAAAATCAAAATAAAATGTTCTTTCTCACACAAAAGAAATGAAGAGCTTTCTTTCCTAACAGTCAAGGAGAAGACCACAGTGAATGATCTGAACTGTACTCAGGGACAGGGTTCACTATATAGCCCCAGCTGGCCTGGAACTCACTATGCAGACTAGGCTGGCCTCCAACTTGTAAAGGTCCACTTCCAACAGTCTTAATATAATTCAGTTTATAACTCCAGTCCAGCCTGTGACAGGATGGTGTCCATAAAATAGAAGGACCATCTGATAAACTGGTTCATGGCTGCCAAGATCAAATGAGGCCAACTTAGGAAGTTGTTTCAGATGACTCCCAGGATGGCTTTCTAGAAAAGCTCCTCCACGACAGGATGGTCCTAGAGAACCTGTCCCTCGTTGTTCCCATCCTCACTCCCCCAATTTGCAGGTGTGTATGCATGATCTTTGTCAAATCTGACCAACCACCACTTCTTGGTCACATAAGCAGCCATGTGTCTGTGCCTGTGGCATTCTTTTCAGAAAATGGAACTGGAAATCTCCATCAGATACCTAAGCATGGGCCTCAGGTGGCATGGGAATAAACATGCAATACTGAAGCCCTTGAAGGCCTGTGTAACTTAAGAACTGCTTATTTAACGCTAGATACAAAAACAGAAGAAAATTATTGAAGGTGTCCATGGTAATGAGACAGGAATGCATGCTGTTAAAGGTGCAAAATAATGGAGTGTCATCTTTTCCAAACAAAAGGAAAATATGATTCAATGGCCAGAGTTGCAGTCCTAAAGGTCAGATAGTCCACTCCTTTCATCCTCTAGATAAGGAAAATGAGAGTTAAAAGAAGCTCCACCCAGAACCACAAATCACAGAGCTACTACGCTGCAAAGCTTAACCTAAAACTAGGCAGAGTTTCTGCCAGAATGCCAGAGCAGAAAATTGTTTTTGCTTTTTTAGAATGGGTTTGACCAAACTCTCCCATATCTTTGTTAATATGCTACACCAACATGCTAAAATTCAGCATAGGAATTTAATACATTTAAATATGGTGGTCCCTGTTTGTCCTTGGAGGATACATTCAAGGCCCCTAATGAATGTCTGAAACCTCAGATAGTAGTACTCAACTCTGAAAGCACGTTTTCACATACATATGTACTATTATAAAGTTTAATTTATAACAGGTACAGTAAGCTATTAACAATATTTGATAACAGATGAAAACAATATCATGCAATAAAAGTGTTTAAACAAATTATTCTCCTCCCCTTTCCTTCAGGTGATCTGATGATAACCAGGACAGCTAGCTACACTAAGTGACTAATGGGTGAGTAATGTATACAGCATGGATCCCATTAACAATTAGAAGACCTGGCCAGGCATGATGATGCCTGTAGTCCTATCACTCCCAAGACCCAGGAGGCTAAGGCTTATGGCTATATAGCAAGATCCTGTCTCAAAGCAAAACAATAACAAGATCCCTGGGTAGGATGCACAAAATTTCACGTCACCACTCTGAATGGCATGCAATTCAAAACATGAGTGATTTATTACTGTAATTTTTCCATTGAATATTTTCAGGCCTCAGGTAACAGAAACTGGATATGGGCAACTACTGTACCTCCAAATTATTAAACCACTGTTTTGTCACAAAAGTCTATCTTATAATTAGATTTATAAGGTGAATGCTACTAGTTCATTATCCCTTATCCTTTTGTAGGACTACAACTTCTGACACCTTGTTTGGTAGTGCTGGGGCTTAAGCAAAGACCTCATTATAGTAGGCAAGTAAGCACAGGATCACTGACCGACCTACACATATGCTGACTGCAACTTTAAAAGCAACACAATCATATGCTCACTAAGTAAAGTACTTCTAAATGTAATACAAAAAGATAGCTAATATTCTCTTTAAAAAGATACTGAGTCCATCAAGTGGACTTAACAGTGAATTTGTACAATTTCAATAGGTAACCTCCTTTTTCTAAGGCATCTCTCTGAAACAGCACTGTCTAAACACTGAAGATTTTCTCAACACAGGTAATGAGATTATTCATAAATTAAAATGAGAACCTTTCCAGTCTCATGTTCACAAACACTACATATGATGGAACCAAAGTTACAAGGCAGTTATTCTGAGATCTGATTAAAAAATAATTGCTGTCATGAGCCGAGAAGGATGGCACACACTTGTAATCTCAGCATTTGGGAGGTGGAGGCAGGAGGGTAGGAAATTCAAGGCCAACCTCAACTACACTTCAAGTTCAAAGCCAGCCTAGGCTACATAAGACTCTGTCTCAAAAATAAACAATTGCTTTTATTAAAACTTACGGAATCAGTTGTTCCAATGCCAAACCCTGTCTCTGCATATGAAATTTAAAGTAAGCAAAAACTCAATGTCACAGGAGAAACGAAACCAAGTGACAATAGAACCTACAGTCAAAGACAGCATGTCCTTCGATTTCAAAGTGCTTCATTAATAAAGCTTTAACGACATTCACAAAATCTTTTAAGACAGGTTAGGTAAAGTTTCTGATTGTTTGTGAATTCTATTTAGTCCTTTCTATAGCTCTCTCCCTGTCTCCTCTCCCCAACGGTGTAACTGAGATAGGCCTTAGGAAGCACCTGTGGCCTGAAGAGGTTGTGACCAATTCTCAAAGCTTTCTTGGCTGCAGCCTACAAGCAGGTCCGGCTATTCTATTTTGGGTCAAGGAGACCGTCCGCCACCCCCAGTGACCTCAAGTGGACAAGATCGGTTTGAGAGAAGGCACTGTAAGTTGGATTTTTTCCTTCGCCAGCCCAGCAGCCCCCCGCTGAGAGCCTCCCCTCAAAGGATGGAAATCTGGTGACCATCCACACAGGCAGCGAAAGGAATGCGGGCTGGGCTGTCGCGACTCCAGCCGTCTGTCGGCTCGGGATCCCGCAGCTCTGTCCAGGCCGTGGTGTCAGAAGAACGGGCAAGCAGGGATTCCCGGGGGACGGGGGGGGGGGGGGGGGGCAAGGTTAGCTGCCTGCAGGTGTCGCGGAGGGAGAGGACGAGGTCGCCTGGGGGCCGTGACTAATAAGAGTGCGGCTCTGCACCCGGATAGCCGGTCCCGTTCTCAGGGCGGTGACCTTGGGCACGTGGGTCCACCGCTCTGCACCTCAGTTTCCCCAGCTCTGGGGGGATTGTTCGGCAGAAAACTCGCCTGCGGCGCTCTGTAGGGCGCCGGCTGAGCGCGACTAGCTGGCGAGCGCTCAGGCTCCGCGGGCAAAGCCCCGCGCACGAGAGTCCCGGGAAGTGGGCCCGGGCCGTGGGACTCACCAAGCACGTCCGCGGAGCGGTGCCGGGCCACGAAGCAGGCGTCGTCCCCGTAGCACGCGCCCTTCTTGAGCAGGCCCTTACGGAAGTCCTTGCCGAAGCCGCAGCCCGCAGTCACCAACCCGTAGTCGCCGCCGCCGCCGCTGCCACCGCCGCCCGCCCTGGTGTCGGTCTGCGACAGGCCGCCGAGCACGGCGCGGGCCACCAGCCGCCCGTACGACAGGACCGAGAACATCGCCGCCGCCGCCGCCCCCCCGAGGAGGCGCGGGGCCCGGGGAGCTAGAGGACGCCGAGGCCCGGAGCCGGCTCGCTCCTCAGCCGCAGCAGCAGCAGTCGCGTCGCGGGGGCGCTCCTCAGGGCGGCGCGCACTGGCCACCGCCGCCCCTGCCTGCCTCGCGGGGCCTCGCACTCGCTCTGCCGCGCGCACTGGAGCCAGAGCGAGGTCAGAACCGGCGGCTCCTCCGCCTCAGCCCAAGTGGGGTCCCGGCTACAGCCTTCACCACTGCCGCCATCTTCCGCTCCACTAACGTGTTCCGGGCCGCGCCGGCCGCTCCGCCTCCTTTGGGCCCGCCCCTGGGCCCGCCCCCGATTCGCGGCTCGTCCTCAAGCCCCGCCCTCTCAGGCTCGCAGCGCTATGTAGTCACCAGATTGAGCGTGCGTAGAGGACGCGGTGGTTCTTGGGAGTTGTAGTCCAGAAGTTGTAGTCTCTTTGATCTTGGCTGCCTAGGATCCAGGGTTTGGATTTCCTAGATGTCAGTAAATTATTGAGAATGAGGGGTAGTCTGCTTGGAGGCGGTGGGGGAACCCATCTTGTTTTTCTTCCTCTATCTCTTTTTTTTTCTTCTTTTCGGGTTTTTTGAGATAGAGTCTCATGAAGCCCAGACTGGCCTCAAACTCACTTTGTAGCCAAAGTTGGCCTTGAACTATTTCTTTGTCTACACCTACTCAGTCCTGCGATTACAGTCGTGGGTCACCACGCCCGGTTTAATATTAATAATTTCTTTTACAGTCTTCCCACAACACGTACACCACACACATACACACACAGGCACACACACACACACACACATTCCATTCCCTTAAACAAAACTCTAAAGGAAACCAAGATTGGGAGCACTTTTTTTTCCTTTCTTTTTTTTGGGGGGGTTCTTTTTGAGGCAAGGTAGCCCCAGCTGTCCTAGAACTCACTACGTAGGCTAGCCTGGCGTCGAACTCGCAGAGATCCCACTGTCTCTGCCTTCCTCTGCTGGAATTAAAGGCATGCGTCATCACACCCGGGTTGGGATCACATATAGTATACATACTGAGAAACAGCAGTACACAAATTTAACAACGGTTACACAACTAGTGTACCCTGAGAGTTCAATGTCCAAAATGTCTTTGCCTCATCTCTTAAGCTTCTTGACAGTCCACCCTGGCCAAGCAGATCTTCTCCCAGCCTCTGATGTGGAGGCCTACAGAAAGCATGGACAGCTGAATACTGGCAAAGATGAGGCCCCTTTCTCTGGCAACGGCTGCCACCACTTCTCAAGAGGGCATCCCTTGGCAGAAAGAAAGGGCCTGTCATGATAGACATGCCTTTAACCCCCAGTTCTAGAGAGGTAGAAGTAGTTCTACCCCAGCTAGGCCTACATAGTGAGACCCTGTCTTAAAAAAAAGAAAAGAAAAAAGGAAGGGAAGGAGAGAAGAGCTCTCTTGTTTTGTTTTAAGCTCTCAGCCTAGTTCTATCAAAGACATAATATAACCTTCCCCAGATATTGACTGTTGTAAGTAATTGCCCTGTGAGGCTATTTAGGTAGAATGACAGATACAGTCTTTACTAATTTTATTTTTGAGACAGAATACCATGTAGCTCAAACTCAGTGTATACCCAAAGATGACCTTGACTTGATCATCCTATCTGTATCTCCCAAGTGCTGGAATTTTAGGTGTGCACCACAGTGCCTGGTTTATTCAGTAGAGATAGAACCCAGGGCTTCATGTATGCTAGGCAAGCATTATGCCTAGACTTAGTTACATCTCCAGTCCCTGAAACTTATAATCTAATGGGAAAATTAGATTAGTTAGCTCAAACTAGCTATCTAGCCAAGGATGACCTTGAACTCACTTCTGATCCTCTTGCTTCCACATGCCAAGTCCTAGTATTACAGGGCCATACTACCACACACCCATTTACTTCATATATAATGTTTGTATATGTGCACAAATGTATAAACACTCAGGTTTTGGCTTTGTATCATACCCAATAGGAGTAGTGCATTATCTACATCACAAATAACTCCTATTATTTGGTGCTTTGTCTATGACTAGTCTCCAACCATGCTCACAGCTACTCCCAGACCTTTGTCCTTGCTCTTCCTTCCACTCATATCTGAGGGCCTTATGTTTTCTGCTGTTGTGTTCCCAGATTATTTGGGCATACCGTAAATAGTTCCTTTAAAAAATGAGTATTTCACTCCAATCCAGAGTCTCCAAAGGCAAGGATCAGTTGTCATCCTATTGTTAGGATATAAGGTAATACTTGGCATACAGTATGGGAGTTTGTAAATTTCTAGTTTGTTGGGTAACAGAAAGAATAATGGATTAGGAACCATAAATAATAAAAGAATGAAAGCCGGGTATGGTGGTGCATGCCTTTAATCCCAGAGGGAGGCAGATCTCTATGAGTTCAAGGATAGCTTGGGCTACATAGCAAGTTCCAGACTAGCTGGGACTACAGGGAGACCAAAAATACAAAATAATAATAATAATAATAATAATAATAATAAAAGAAAGGAAAGAAAGAAAAGAAAGAAAGAAAGAAAGAAAGAAAAGGAAATGGTTGAATGAATGGAATTCAACAATAAATGAAAACTGAGCTTTGGGGGTAAGTGATCCAAGTTGGAATAACTTTCAGTTTAATTTATTATTATCATTATTATGTATATGTCTGTGTATGTGCATGATGTGGGGGCAGGGGACATGCCACAGTGTGCATCTAGAGGTCAGAGGGAAACTTTCAGGAATCTGTTTTCTCTTTCCACCCTTACATGGGTTCTGGAGATGGAACTCAGCTCTTCAGACTTGCATGACAAGTGCTTTTACCTACTGAGCCATCTCACTGGCCCCATAATTTTTAGTCTAATTGTAACATAAAATATCTCACCTGTGCCAGATGTGGTGGTGCACTCCTTTAATCCCAGCACTCAGGAGGCAAAGGCAGGCATATTTCTGAAAGTTCGAGGCCAGCCTGGTCTGCATAACTAGTTCCAGCCCAGCCAGGGCTACATAGTGAGACCCTGTCTCAAAAAACAAACAAGCTGGGAGTGGTGGCGCACATCTTTAATCCCAGCATTCGGGAGGCAGAGGCAGGCAGATCTCTGTGAGTTCAAGGCCAGCCTGGTCTACATAGTGAGTTCCAGGACAGCTCGGGCTATAGGGAGACCCTGTCTCAAAAAGACCAAAAAACAAAAACAAACAAACAAACAAAAAACAGGAGTATTGGTCCTTTTTCTGTTCATTTTGGACAGGATTGCAACTACTTTGGGGATGCCCATCTGGTTCTTTAATGTGTTTCTATAGTTTCTTAATATACCTAAAGTCCTGCCAACCATCCACTTAACACACATTACTCTGTTACCCTAATTACTGTCGTCATTAAATACTTTTGCAGTTCACAGTGGCCAAGTACATGCTTCTATCCTCAAGGGCTTCCATCAGGATTGAACAGGATAAATCACCTCACATAGTGAGTTGCACTTGGTTGAGTATGTGAAAAAAATAAAAGTTCTTTTGTAGGAGAAAAAACAGCATTTCCAATAACATAATCACACCTTGCTATTTTTTATGCTGCAAGAATTGGAGCGTGCCCAGAGGAGGTGGGTGGGCAGCACCTCTTTGGAATCTTCTGCTTGCCATTTCCATCTCTGCCAACTGCACTAAAGGTTGCTCTCTAAGCCATGCTCACCACTACTTAGTCCCAGCCAGCCTGTCAGGTAATTCTACCCCCAAGGGCAAGTTTTTTTGACATGGTATGTCAACCCCTGTTCCTTGCCTTGTCAAACTCCTGCAGACAAATTGGATTTCTCATTTTAAAGGTATGTATAATTACCCAATTTCCGTGTCAGTCACGAGAACCGGTTGGGTGGGACTAGTAGGAACATAGGAGGTTCACTTGCCTGGCATTTGTCATAGCCTGGTGTCCCCAGTAAGCAACCTCTGCTGTGGTGAGACTGCTGCCCTTGGTGTAGTTATTTGAATGTCATGTGCTTGGAGTTTCCAGCCATGGAGATTCTTGTTAATAGGTTGATCACTGAGGCACGTGGCAAGCAGAATCCTTGCTCAAAGCTCCTGGGTGCTTTTTTTGGAAAGGAGAGGGCACAGGGCTTTGGGTTCCCTTCCATCATTGGTTCTAGAGTCAGTTCTGAAGTTTCCCTGAGAAGCCAGGAGAGGGAATTTTTCAGATTTGACATTTTGCTCGACTTAGGAAACCCTGAGTTTTCTTCCTTAACAGGGTTACATTCTTAGCACTTCAAGGATTCCTGGGAGGTCAGTTGCTGCTCTCAGAGGCCAAGAAATGATAAAAATACCATTCGGGCTCCCAGGGCACCTCAGTGGCATTAAGAATGAGCTTTGTACCTGGATTGCCATAGCCTCAGCTCCTAAAAAAAATAAAAAAGAAAAACGGCATGATTTTTCTAATGAGAAATTCCTGCCAGACCTGTGCCAAAGATCTCATCTGATTTCTTTCTTGTGCTAGCCTTACCAAAAGGAACATTCATTAACTTATGGCAAAGATTTTTTTAAACTTATTTTATTTTTTTAAATTTTACATGTATAAGTTTTGCCTGCATGTGTGTGCAATGTCTGAGAAGGTCAGAAAGAGAACTAAACAGTTGTTAGCCACCATGTGGGTGCTGGGAACCAAACCTGGCTCCTCTGCAAGAGCAGCCAGTGCTCTTAACCGCTGAGCCATCTCTCTAGCCCTTATTGCAAGCATTCTTAACACTGATACTATTGACATTTGGGGCAGGATATGTCTTTGATGGGGAGGTTTTCCTGGGCAGCAGAGGGTCAGACTTAGCAGCATCCCTAGCTTCTACTCACTAGATACAGGTTGCATGCCCCATTCTGAGATGAGATAACAGAAAATTTCTGAGCTATTATCAAATATCCCCTGGGGGCAAAATAACTCCTGGTTTAGAACCAGTAGGTGATGGCAATACCAGGAAAGTGGAAAAATATTTGCTAAGCTCTTGCTCTGTTAGAAATCGTAGCTGCCTGGTAGTCACCAAATCTAGGCTAGGAGAAGGTTAGTGCTGAAAGAGTGTTGAGAAAAGCCAAGTACTATCAGTTAAAATAAAGGAGGTGAAATTAGGAAGGAGAAATTGGGCCTCAGGCTGGTGGAGAACACTCAGGACACTTCTTGAAGAAGTGATATTGCAAGGGTTGCAGATGTGACTCAGCTGGTAGAATGCTCACCTAGCATGCATAAGGCCCTGGGTTCCTCAGCACTCAGGTGGTAAGTTTAAGGTCATCTTTGGCTACTTAATGAATTTGAGGTCAGTCT